TACTATTGTCCTACGAACGACGTGTTTAGTATATCGTGTGTAGTTTATCTTTTTATTTGATTGCATGCTTAAAATTTGTTTTTTTTTATTTCTTAAAATTATTTTAATTTACCATAGTATGTAAACAGGATTAACTTAAACAACTTTAACAACACGACAAATGACACCTGTATTGCTTACATGATAAAAAATAAATAACGTATTCTGGCTTCAAACTCGTAACATATCTTAGCCTGCTCCTAGCTGAACATTGGCTCCATCTTTGGTGGTCAAATGGCTGTTTCAGGTTCAACACTTTTAGCCTTATCTAAAATATCAATACATTTTTTTGTTTTATAGGCGCCCAGATTTTTGGAAAAAAAAGACTACGTACTGTGGGATTTTTACCTTAGTGAAACCTTCCGATCTCGCGCTTCTGGCGATCTCGCTTGGCAACCTCCGTTTGGGACATTTTTGTGTCTCAAAAGGAAGCCACTTGAGTCCAATTTTCTGTATTTGCCAGCATAGCAATCCAACCAGCGGTTCCAAAGATTACCCCCTACATACAAACTTACAAACATACAAACTTAAAAATGTTAGTATAGATTAAGAAAATACAAAAAATTAAATGAAATCTTGAAATGTAATCATAAAACCAGGACCATATCTAGGTTAATAATCTTCAAGTAAAAACTGACAGCGAGTCGCCCTTTAATAACTTAACTAAACTTAATCTAAGTTCCCAACTTTGATCAATTTATTCTCTATGAGGAGACGTAATGAGAAAAAGATGCGTATTTGAGAGAGCGTGGTATCAAATAATCTGTTTGCCATGAAACTTACATCGGTATCATTAATTCTAATATATACTTAAATAATTATATACTAGGTACAAATATGTTACATAAATGTAGTTAAAACTAAGACTTAAACTAGAACGCATAAAGCGTTTAAAATTATTATTAAACCTACGTACATAATAAGATTTATTTATTTACTTCATGCACAATTTAGAATGTACAGCTAGTGGTCAAAAATGCAATTGCACTCTACCAATTTTAAAATGACCAAAATATCTTTATAGAATAGAGTCAATGGTTGAGGACTGCTTTAATTTAAAGCATAGAATCTAAATTATTGAATAAACTAGCTGTGAACCATTCAACTTTTACTACAAAGAAATTTTAGTCATTTAAAAATTGGCAGAGTGTAATTGCATTTTTGACCCCTGACTGTAAATTAGGCGCACTTAGTGCATTGAGCATTCTCTACCAATCGACCTTTGGGTGAAGCAGAATCCAGTAGTAGATGCAAGAAGCAAGCAAGATATACATTTTATTTTCTTAAAAAAAAAAGATGCCTCCCATTAGTTTTTTATCCTGTGTCGAGATTGCGTTGACAAACATACAATTTCACGTACTTACACATCACACCCAGACCCGGAACAACTATTTGTGGATCACACAAAGAGTTGTTTCGTGCGGGAATCGAACCTTGGCACGTTGCACGGCAGCCAGTTTCCCAGCCAAATATACAGTCAGAACATGTCTGTTTGTTAGTTCATGAGTGCACATTTTCAAAGGCGCGGAACGGATTTTCACGTCTCTAATATTGGTAGGAGGAAAGACTTTTGAAAAAATACATTATCTCCGTTACGATCATATTTACAATTTATTATAAATTTAGCATGACGTAATAAATACTGCAATCTTGTAGGAGCATACAGAAAAATGAATACAATCCTTAACAAAATTCATGTGACATAAAAATCTTAATATTATATGGAAAAACATGCATCTTTTCCGAAATCCTTTCAAACTCGGACACTTAAAAAGTGGTGGACCTTTCTTACATGAATAAACATGTTCATAAGGCAAAAAAAATGTTCAGCAAAGTTACTAGGGCACCATGTGTAATAGCATGTTTATATGTCCCGGTTTCGTTCGCCCCTGTAATTTATGAGTTCCCATAAAAGCGAGTTTGGGTCGCCTTACTTACGATATGATTTGCATTTTTTTCTTTAGAACACGTGTTGATGGCCGTATTTGCATAGCTGAAAACTTTTTAAATGTAATTTTCTGTTCTCTTTTTTTCTTGTTTATTTGCATAATTTTAACGTTGATGTTTCGAAAGAGTTTTCATATTTTGTTTTTATTAAAAAAGAGGTTACGTAGCACCTTCTCTATTTTTTTTCTGCTTTCCTCTAATTAACTGAACGTTTCGTTTAGCTTAATTAGCATAAAATGTAATCGTCTTGGTTCGAATCTAATTTAAACACTAAAATTATTGTGCATTATGCATCAGCTGTTGTCAAGGAATGAGACACTAAACTATTTTCAAGTCACGTTGCACAATGGAACTCTGTACCTACTACGTGTCTTACGTCACAAGCGAACTGAACAACAAGAGACGTGATGCATTTCAATAATACAAATATTTCAAGGAGATTTATATGTCAGAGATCTAAACAATTACCATATCGCCACAATTCGCCAAAGCCTCGTAAACGTATAACTTTGTATGACAAGTAAGTATGACAGAACGGGTACTGACCGCTTAAAGAAGTTACCGTCTTGAAAAATATTACACAAAACATAGCTATGCAATCAAGAAAAGTAAACAAAATCCGATATTAAATATTAACAAGGAACAGGGAAAAATAAATCACACATATTTCGGTAAACACATGTAATACCTCAGAGTAGCATACTGTTCCACCTGTAATATCTCTAACAAGGAAATCCAATTATTCCATAGATGAACCCATAAACTACTGGCCAAACCACACACGCATAGGGCTGTCCAATAAAACGCCGGGCGGAGAAAGTGGCGACCCTAGCCGTGACGCAGACTTAAGGGTGGGCTCTCATTTATTATTCTTTTTTTATGACGCATAAATTCAACCGCTTGCTGTAATCGGACCTCGTCCTTTACAGATCTGCATATTTTTTACGCAGTTCTCATTGGATAGGTGTGTTCTCATGAGGTCTTGGACAATTGGAGAAGAAATCAATGGTGTTCTAAGCCTCACCGCTAATGTGTGCACGTCTTGCATCTGATAGTTTACATTATGTAGAAAGTGAAGTACTTATTTATTTTTTTTACCAGCCGACTAAGAGACTTCACTTTTGACGGAGATCTTTTAAAAAGAGATCTAGCGAACCATGCTTCGTCGTGAACGGACAGGGTCGGCGGGACTGATACCAGGGCCTCATAGAAAATAGACAATCTTCAAATGCCTTCTTCCCACTTCCAAAAATATTCCCAACGCACTTACAACTCTTCTAGTGTTGGGAGTGTCAATGGACGACACTGATTGCTTACCATCAGATGATACGTATATCCCTTTGTGTATATTTCTAATGCCCATAGTTGAGCTGCTATGGACACGAGAACTGGTAAGACACTGCAAGTGGTTAAGAATACATTTCAAATCGAAAATAACTTCCAAGTTATAAACATTTATTCAAATCCCCGAGTTATCTCAACATGCTCCATATTCAATCTAAATTCTTTTATTCTTTATCAAATTGAAATGGCAGAAGGCGAGTAGTGGAGTACATTCGATTGCATCGTGTGGAGTATAATGTCTGTCTGTCTGTGAGAAACTACTGCTGCTATACGTCTACTAGACAAATCGCTCCCTCAAATGGAAGATTACTGTAAAGCCGGCGTTTTATTACACCGAAGTGTGTTACTATTGTTATTGCAACGATTTTCTTTTCGCATTGCACCAAATGACTTGAAATCTGATTTGATCACATTTGTTAGGAGATTTTTAGTTTCATCATTCAAATAATGGGGTGGTGAACGAGTAGATAGATTACTTACTTGATGGTATGCAATCGGTGCCGCCCATGGATGCTACGTAACACTAGCGGAGCTTCGAGTGGTTGCCGGCCTTTGGGGATTAGGATTTTAGAGATTTAGAGATTAGGGAGGGATGGGAGCGATAAAGGTTTTGCTCTCCGATAATCTCACTCATGAGGAGAGCCGTACTTCGCCATGAATGGGTCGGATCGAACAGCTCAAAGTGATACCATAGCCTCATAGAAAACCGGCGTGAAAAAACAACAGAGTTGTCTTTCCCTTCCCCAATTTCTAAATATCCAGTATCGAAATCCCAAAAAGGTCGGCAACACATTCGTAACTCTTCTGGTATTACGGGTGTCCATTCGCGGCGCCGATGGTTTACCATCAGGCATACCCTTGGCTCGTTGGCCGACAAATTGCATATAAAAATTGCTTCCACCCAACTGAATCTAACGGATATTTAGTAATCATGAATTTTAATTTGTTCTTAAATATTTGTTATGGGTTATAAACAATTATTAGAAATAAATAAACAACCAATTCATAAGTTTGTTGACTGGTTTGAGTTTAACCATAGCACAAGATTAGTAAAAGATATACAAATTCCTATATGAACGTCAGGTGATTATAATATCTAGTCACCTCCTCAAAACACAATAAAATTGAACCAAGTCAATTACGAGGTTACAAGACGGTGTGATAGCCAGTCAAGTTAAGCCTACGTCCTTAGATATCCTACCGCGCAGGGTAAGGCTAGTTTTATTGTTTGTTGTGTTCGTTTTATGAGAAATTCATGAGCAATTTACTTGACAGCAGCCAGGAAATAAGGTGCTAGGTGCCGAATTGCTAATAGAGAGTGCCGGTTTCAAAAGTCTTTTTAAGCCGTTCAAATTGTACTTCAAGTTTTAACGCCTTGATTTTATTTAGTGAAGTAGACCTCGAATGGAATTTTATTGGTGCTTCAGTGAGCAATATGAAGTTTTGCTATTTCGTTTACGTATGAGTTTAATGTTATGTGAACAAATACTAAGCTATGCTGTTCTATACTGGTCATAATACAGAACCTCAGTTTTGAAGTACTTACTATTTCGTTTTTTAGCTTTTAAAACCCAGAATATTTTAGTAGATAGGTACTGTTGTAGCTGCAACTATCAGAAAGAGAGAATGAAAGATGAAGAATAAACCAAAACAATTTCAACAATAAAAATTTATTTAGTCCACACAATAGGTTCGATCCAGTCCAAGTAGCTGGATACTCTGGTGTAGATTCCAGGCAGGTTGGGCAGTGCACATCCAATGCCGAATGACGTCACACCGATCACATAGTGCATTAGACCTTCTGATGTGATTGGGATGGGAATCCGCACTTGAAGAGGTCCTCCGGAGTCACCCTGATAAGTAACAAGGTATTATTGACATAACATATTCATCAATAAAAATTCTTTGCCCAGTATGGCTAGAAGACAAAAGTTTTTTAACCATGCAGAAACTTTATGTCACTCATTTTTCTTGTCGTATGTACTAGTTTATAGTAAAACACCAGGAATAGCTCTAGATTTTGTGCTGTATATAAGTTTTATTGGGACACACAAAGCAAGGAACATAATCATGTTTTAAAAACCAGTTTTCACTAGTAAACATATCTTTATGGCTGAAATTGGATTTAGTCAGAATTACAAACATATGGTCTATTTTCAAGGACCATTCCTTTACCTGACAAGCATCAACTCCTCCCTCGAGTTTACCAGCACAAAGCTGGTCTTCCCTGACTCCACACCAGTTCCTGTTGCAGGACGGTCTCAGTAGACGGTCGCACGTGTCACTGTCTATTATGTCTACTACTGCTTCTTGCAGCTCAGGCGAGGTCTTTCGGCCATCTGTAGAAAAAAAAATCTATTTCTTGAAAACAACATTGACACTAGATGAAATTTTATATGAAACGAAGAAAAATCCAATACTTATTGAATACAAATTACATCATCCGTTGATCATTAATTTTTTTGGCCCTACTTATACTAAATAAACTGCAATAATGATGTTTTATACCTTATTAAATTGAATTGATTTTATGCATACGTGTAATATTTAGTAATAATGTCAATTTACCATATTATGCAAATTGGCTTCATCGTTATTTTGTTTTATTACATATCTGGTTTCACTACTTTTAGCAAAGGGAGTAAAATTGAAATGGTCTATGAGTATTCTATCTAAAATTGTGGGTGGATTTTATCTGATCTGTTAAACTGTTTCCCACCTTTCCTAGATCGAGATAACACAGAGAGTATTTTCATATTTTGTCATTAATTCGATATTATTAAGATTTTATAATGGGTTGCCCGTAACATTAATTTAAATTTGGATGAGAAGGCCCCTAGAAATGAAAATACTAAAAATATCGATAATAATAATAAAAAAATATTTTGTTAAATAATAAGTTTAATACTGAACAAAACTTACTGGTCTCTACTACACCCCATCCAGTCAAAGTGGCTTCTGTTCCAAGAGCAGCAGTATTAAAGTTGTTCCATAAACAATCTGGTTGGATAAACTTGGTGAACTGCACGTCCTTCGCCAGCTCCATCAAAGCGATGTCATAGTATTTCTTCGGAGGCGCGTACTTTGGATGAACTATAATTTTGATAATCTTAGCATCTGTTGGTAACACGCCGTGAGAGTACTGAAATTAATGAAGTATATTATTATATTATCGTGACAAACTTGCCAAAACACTCCAACTCATGTGATTAGGATCTACAATAGATATAATATTAGTAGCACATGAAAATTAGGTTGGTAGTTTCGTAGATGGTCCAGAGCCATCCTGGGACTAGACACCAGATAGCTTTCGAGATTCAGGTCAACAAGAACACGTTATTTTTATAATTATCTCTGATAGCCATAATGATGTGCTAAATGAAAGAAAAGTTTTTCTAAAACTAGACTCGAATTGCAAGCCGACTCCTTTTGTTTATTGAGAATTTTCATAGATTGAAAATGGCGATTACGGTGCCCATCGTAAGACTATATCGAGGCAGGTAGTGTTTAGCGAAATTTCGAGTCAACTGCGGTAAAAGACCATTATCCGCATACCCAGTCAAAGACCAGCCATATAGAAGGGCAGATCATCAAAACCCAAATTCCACAGATACGGTCCGAAAATCGACCTCTGGGGACATTCCATTGATAATGAATTCGACCGAGTATAATGACCAAGTTGCAATTATACTGCGTTGTGGATAAAGTACGTGTATACTAGTTTATATATACCTTGCTAAAGTAGCTCGAATTTTCATTTTCAGAAGTTACATTGGCCATTAGTGCTCAAATGTATTTACTATGGTTCGGATAGAGAGAGCCGCGTCAACAGTGGTAAGTACAGTAAAACTTGGCAGCGAAGGAACTCGAAATTATGGAGTCCTGGTGTGAGGACAGTCACAAAATTACTTGGGAATCGGTTTATAGCAAAAAATATTTAGATCACTTTTTTTATTACTAAATGTAATAAAGTAATAAAGTGTGGGAGAGCCAAGCTTCGGCACGAATGGGTCGGCTCGACCGGAGTGATACCACTGCCTCACAGAATACCAGCGTGAAACAACCCACAGCGTTGTGTTTCGCCGTGTGAGTGAGTTGACCGGAGGCCCAATCTCTCCTCTTCCCCTATCCCTTCCCAATCCTTATATCCGCAACCCCCATCCCCAAAAAGCCGGCAACGCACTCGTGACTCCTTTAGTGTTGCGGGTGTCCATGGGCGGCGCCGATTGCTTACCATCAGGTAATCGGTATGCTCGTTTGCCGATTTATACCATAAAAAAAACAAGGAAAAAAGTTATAACGAACCACATCAGCAATATTTTTGTCTCCCAGCCTCACTATCTTGGGCACCGGGTCAGCAATAGATGTGTCTCTTGTGGACGCTTTGGAGCAATGACCTGCTGTTAACACGAACTTGGAGCTGATAAGTGAGCTGCCGCATTTGAATACCCAAGTTCCTGTCGCCGCCTTCCATCCTATGGCACCCTGGTATTTCAATTTGAAACTGTTAATTTTGCTTTTTTGTAAGTTTATGTTATATTTGACTGACAAAAATAAGTTATTGGGACTCTTTAACTACGAAAAATATAATACATGCTTCACTTTTTATTCATTGTTTAAAGAATGTATCTTTTTAATGTTCAAAAACACCAAAAAGGCTTTCACTTGTTGTTTTTAAATTATTTTTAGAGAAATCCAAGTTTTCTTTTTTTTTCTTTTTTTATTTAGTTACTCGATTAACTATACCAGTCATTGATCACTAACCATATGTGGATATTCCCCTGGCTCCGTATGCTTCCTACCTCCTCCTCTCTCTTATACCTCCAATAGCTTCGACAGCCACAGGTTTATTCGGATCTGCACTCCTTGCTAATTCTAGTGCACCTGTTAGGAAATATGAATACATGAAAAAATGGTAGTTTCCAAGGTACTTATTTTGACTTTTCAATGCTCTTAATTATTTAAATGTAAACTTTTGTTCATTGATAACGTTATTACGTCATAATAAGTTGCGATTACGAACAAAATTCATTGAAAGAGTATCATGTTTCAAATATAAATAAAATTTTTAAAATTAACTAGATGAAAACTACAAAATCTATCAGATATATATTTAGTTATGGATTGACTAAATAAATAATGTAATAGAGATGGGGTGGACTTTATTTTAGTATAGATACTCTAGGCATATTTCTAGACTATTTGAGACCTAGATAACATCAAAAACAATCAAAACATTCTACTAAAGACTCTTGTCGAATACTCTAATGTAATGTAATGTAATACTCTAATGTAATGTATACCTAAATCGAAAATCCTAATATTACTTTACGTGATCTGATAACTACGTGCATTTAATTTTGTAAACTCCTAAGCATGCGACCACACGATCAATGTGACAATACAAATAGTACAAGTTACTAATTGAATAACTAATGAACGACTGTTGTTCACTCCTTAGTCTGAATGTTTGAACAATTTCAAGAAACTTGCAACCTTCAGGCTATCTATCAGTTTAGTATTTAGATACATAAGTAGGATTTGGAGATTGTGTATGTTTTAATTTTTTTTGTGGAATAGGTCGGCAAATGTACCGGACCTATCGGAAACGTATAAATATTATATTTATATTTATTATTCGTGTATTTTACTATAAACCTGATGTTTATTTATACAATGAGTATTTAGTTAAACGTAGGAATATATATAGTATCTAAGTACCGTCATAAAATTTTGTTATACATATTATTATATACTTCACACAAATGCACTTTATACAAAGACATGTATAAATAAATAAAAACCAAAATAAAATTAACAAATATTCCTATTGCTTTGACGCGTACTTGATGTTGGCTGAGTATTTGAAAGATTTTGGGAAATAATAATAAAAAAGTTATTTATTGAATCAGTTTATATACTCACATTTAGCTGCTCTCAATCTCCTTTCGTGTCTTACTCGTAATTGCCAAATATATTCGTAACACTCTGAAAGCAATGAAACACAATTACTTTTAAGAACATAACATAACTTAATTTTAATTTTCTGATAAAATAATACCAACCGGGATTACGTGTGCACGCGCAAATATATACAGCGGCCTAGGCCCGGAGAAGGAGAAAATTATTTAATCATCAAACTTAATGTAAGCGGATTGGCGATTTGAAACTTATTAGAAATGATTAGTGCAGATCCTTACGATTTTTTTCTACTCAGTTTTTCAGTGGGGTCTAAATAAACTTAGAATCTATATCGGTATTACTCGGAACAAAGCACATTGGTACTTGCCAGGTTTGAATACTGCCTGAAGCATCACGCGTCCTCACAATTACAATTTTGCTTTAGGACTGGGGCAAGTGACCAAGTCGAGGTTTCTAGATGTCTAAATAAATTTAAAAAAGAGTCACTGGTTCTTGCCAAGTTAGTAACCCGTTCCATCATGAAGGACACGCAGTTGAGGTATCCTCCGGCCCACCACGGCTAAGTTAGTTTGTTATTTATCATTTTATTGACAACTTATGTTACTTATGTAGCGACATCTATCGCACAACAGCACCAAACACGTGCAAGATTCTACATCGCGCTATAAGAGTTATCAACGCTATTAGAACCGATACAAAATCCCGACGACAACTGATGGGCCGGACGCCGCGTGAGTCTCCCGCCCGCCCGCATCAGGCCGGCTGGTAGAGACTCCGCCCACACCGGACTCGACCACGCGCCGCTGACAGCTCGCTGCTCGCCGGGCTCGCCCAGGCTCGAGCGCGGCTCCTAGCGGCGCCAACCACTGGACACGACCGCGCGCCGTCAACAGCTTGCTACTCGCCGGGCTTGCCCAGGCTCGAGCGCGGCCTATGACGGCGCCACCCACAGGACATGACCACATCGGGCCCCGCAAGAGGCCCGACTATTCCAAGGACCTCGCCTGCTATTGCAGGCAGCGAGTGATACCGCCGAGACAGGCATCGGCCTGGATCGCGCGACCTCACGCCCCCAGCCGGGGACGGTGAGAACACCCGAACGTCCAACTGATGGGCAGTAGTCTGGTCGGAGCATCCACCCTTTTCAATGGGGGATGAGGAACTTTCCTCCCTGTTCTCTTTATACCTCTAAAATAAATAAAATAACTTACTTATGTCACTTGTTCTTCGCCCTGTCGTGCTGAAATCTGGCGTTGGTGGGTTAAATGGTTCGCAGGCTTCATGTCTTTTGATTTCCGCCGGGACTGAGTCTGTGGTAGAAGGTGATATAGTCTGTAAGAGAATTATTTTATGTTTTACTTACTTTTGACCGTCGAGTAATGTCATACTGTTGCATTCAGTTAAAGTTATCAGTTATCACCCAATTTGTACGTATTAAGTATGTGTATACATTTTTTATCAGTACCTACTAAGTATAGGATTTGAAACTTAACGACGAGAAATTGATTAACTCGTCCTGTTTCTTTATATTTATTTTGCATTGTTCAAATGTTGTTTATATAATGTATGTAAGTATTGGTGAGATTGTAAAAATATTTTTTTAAATAGTAACGATTAAGTTTCTCACTCGTTCTTCTCCATTCGAATCTAGACTTTGGAACAAGCTAATAGCTCACTAGCTAGACAAACCGACTGACTGATTTTGACGTTTCAAAAGTACTAGCCCAGTATATAGTACGTGATTTTGACTTTGCCTTTACGAAATATGGGTATATTTTTCTATTCCAGATATTTTGTTGGAATAAATTAAAAAAAATATTCTTACTGTTGACATTTATTTTGAGCTTAATTATTTTAGTTCATACAATACTTACAATATTGTTTGTCGTGGTTTCGTATCCCCAAATCCATCTGTCGTCATCCTATTGTGAAAATAAAATTTGGTTAAATATTTTTTTACGTAATAATAAAAATAAAACATAAAATAAAATCAACTAAAATTATAATCAACGAATATTTTTGACCTTAATATAATGCGTATTATGTAAGTATATCAACGTAAAAAATTTTGTTAAATTCAATATCTATGGGACTCTGTGCGTCCAAGGTCGTAAAGTTCATTGACACTAAAAATGACGTCACACTACTGAACTTCACACTTTGGTCCAGGGCAAGCCCCGTCGCACACAACGACATGTATTTATTTATGTCAGTATCAAGAGTGACGTCATAATTCTGTGTATTTCATTGACTGGACTAATTTCAAGTATTGTAGTAATGCGGAAAGGAAGATTTTGTGTTGTTATCATTAATTTTATGAATGAGGGTGATGGACTGACGTGGTGGTTTTTGCGGTCCGCAACCGCAATTGCCGAATTACGGATCTAGGTTGTTAAGGTACCGCGGCGTCGGCCTAAAGCAGGAGAAGGAACGCGGGGCTTTTTAGTCTGACACTTTCTTTCACCTTACCCTGGGCGAGAGAAGTACTTTGATGATTTTACCTTCACAAAAAATAAAACAAAAAAAGGAGTTTAAATTTAGATGAACGGGTTGGTCTAAGCATATTTGGGTGATTTATTCTTGTAGATAGCACGTAGTGCGTGGATTTTGGTGGTACCATGATATGATATATACAGGAAGTTGGTCATGAAATTATTTTCCATGTTTTTATTTTTTGTTAACTAAAGAGTTGTTTGTATTAATTATTGAGCTTTTATACTTGGAAAGCGTAAGTAGAGGTGTTCAAAATAGTGAAAATGTTTCTTTTGTTTGTCAGATTTGTATCTGATGTAGTAGTGTTTTAGATTAAATTGAAACATGCAATTTTAATACTTTTCTGGTTAATAAAGCCCTTGCTGCTTGCCTTTGTATGGTCACGTAGTTACATTATACTTTAAGATATAAATGTTTGATTAAATGTTATCTATAAACAAAATGCAAAACTTACGTTTGTTCCATCACGAAATATATGGTGCCGAAAGTGTGCAGGTGATACTGAAAAACCATCACTTATGTAAAATCATCTTAAAAAATTAATATTGTTCTGCATTCTGAGAGAAACAAGAGTAAAAACAGTAAAATTTCTAATCTTTCAGAAAATATCATTAATATATGTACTAAAAATCAAAATAAAATACCTGTAATAAATAAACTAAACAACGCAATAACACTTTTCAAACTAACTTTAAAATTGACAACCATATTTTCAATAAATTGTCTTTTAAAAACAAAACAAAACACGACACGAAAAACAATGTCACAAAAACAAAAATGAGGAAATTATTAAAATAAATTGAAATACACGCAGACATCAATATACGTTTGTTTGGTTCTGCATATGATTGTTTAGTAAGCGTCATATTCCTACGGTTTATATTTTATTGTAAAATCATTGTGCTATGAACAGTAATTGTACCTTGAACACGACACACGACAAATCTTCCATAACCTGATTCATTATTTTGAAAAGGGGATTCAATGTTTTCTTCACTGCAATTACCTTTCCCCCTTGGAGGGTAGATTTGACGTCAGATTTGACCAATAGCATAGTATTACACAATTTTATGTTAGAGGTGATGGAAAACATCGCGAGGAAACCTGGATTTGTCATTTTTAATCGCCAATCCACTTTGAGCAAGCGCGATAATTAATGCTCAAACCTTCTTTTTCGTGTGAGAAGAGGCCTTAGCTCAGCAGTGAGCCTTTATTGGCTGATGATGTATGATCTACATATATACATATGTTAAATTATAACGTAACGTCATTTATTAATTTAAAAAAAGATAAGATATGAATTCTAGACTGTTGTTATGATGGAAGAGCTGTACAGAACACTGGTATGACGGTTACTGTAAACTGAAACCTTCTCCTCATAAAAAATCCCCCAACCCCCGTACCTCAATACCTAATAACCAGTAAAACGGCTCGCAATGAATTGTTGCTTTGGTATTGCAGGTACGGCTGGTTGCTTTCGATCATGTAATCCGCCCGGTCGATTGTCGAATATCGTGTCGAATTCGTAGTGCCTTTCCTAATTTTGTTTGAAAGTGCCTATAATGGTCTAACTGTATGTGTTAATACACATATGTATAACATTAGTTAAAGGCAAGGGACACCATGGTATACTACTACTTTTTCTGGTCCTATAAATGCTTACATCTTTAAAATAACGCAATGGATTTTGTTTGAAGAGGAAGATTTTTATGTATAATTACATCCATTTTTTTATGGAATAGGTGGCAAACGAGCAGACGGATCACCTGATGGTAAGCGATCGGCGCCGCCCATGGACACCTGCAATACGAGAGGAGTCACATGTGCGTTGCCGGCCTTTTAAGAAGAAGTACGCTCGTTTCTCTTATATCACTATTTATAGTGGAGGAAATAAGTCATCAGCATTTCACCCGTGCGAAGCTGAGGCGGGTCGCTAGTTTATAATACGTTGCATACACTCTTTTTGTATGCGTTTTTGAAATCGAATTAACAAGGCAAGTGATACAAACATTGAATTCGTAGTTTTTTTAATTAATTTATTGTCATGAATCAGGCCACACAATAGGTTCGATCCAGTCCAAGTAGCTGGATACTCTGGTGTAGATTCCAGGCAGGTTGGGCAGTGCACATCCAATACCGAATGACGTCACACCGATCACGTAGTGCATGGTGCCTGCCTCAAGGTGGATTGGTAGTTGAACTTGAAGAGGTCCACCAGAGTCACCCTGAAAAGTGCAAAGAAGACAATTGAGTTGATTTGTATGTCATGGGTCAGCAAACGAGAAGACGGATTACCTGATGGTAAGCAATCAGCGCCGCCCATGGACACTCTTAGTATCAAAAGAGTTACTACAAGTGCGTTGCCGGCTTCTTGTGGGTTATTTACATCTAAGAATAGGGGGTTTGAGGATTGAGGATGGGGGGTGGGGGTGATTGGGCCTCCAGTAACCTCACACCTCTTCAAAACTCTTAAAAAATTTATTTAAAATGGAACTTACAAAATTCGTCTAAGACAAGCTTAGATTCCCTAAGGTTAAGACGCCTGCTATTTATAGAGGACTTCAAAACCTGGCAAGTAACAATGAAAAAAAAACAATTGATGCTCAAACCTTCTTTGTGTTCTAAGGTGCCTTTGCTCAGCAGTGAGCACTTATAGGCTTACGATGTGATGGGAAGTTTAGTTTTATTTGTTCTAAACTAAATGGTCTTAAGTCTAGGTTTGTCTTTCAGGCATTGACTTTCGAAAGACTTTTAATATTTAATAACTATATCCCTGGGCATCAAGATCACAACATACTTACTTGACAAGCATCCACTCCTCCTGCCAGTTTGCCGGCACAGAGCTGGTCATCTCTTACACCACACCAGTTCCTGTTGCAAGAACTCTTTAGCAGTTGGTTGCAGGTGTCACTATCTATCAGGTCTACTACTGCAGCTTGTAGCTCCGGCGATGTTGTTTTACCGTCTGTAAATAAGTTAGGTAGTATAAGCTAATGGTCGTGGCGAGCTTGACTGTTTCGCAGAAAGAGGAGACTTCTTCCCAGTTCCTCTTCCTCTGCAGGATGGCTTGAACTTAGGCCTGGCACGAGAGATCATCGTGAGGAAACTTGGACTTATATTTTTAAATCGTAATGATGGTTTCTTCAAGTTTGGAATCGCCTATCCAGCTTGGACAAGCGTGATGGTTGCTGTTTACTTGTCATGTAACAAGCAATCGGCACTTAAAGGCTGATGATGTCATGTGATGTAAATGGCAAATAGTAGTTATTTTTTTCAATTTGTCTTAAACACTTGAACTGTAGGAAATTTGATTCCATTTTTAAGTTATTAACAAGATGAGGAAGCTAACAATTAGTTGTTCCAAGGAATAACTTCATCTTCATTCAGACTTTAAAATACAAAGTAAATATTTCCATACGTGTTTCAACAACACCCCATCCAGTTAAGGTGGCCGTCGGTCCAAGGCTTGAAGTATCGAACTTGGTCCACATACAAGCTGGTTGTGTGTACTTAGTGAAGTGCACCTCGTTCTCCAACTTCATCAGAGCGATGTCGTAGTACTTCTTCGGAGGCGCGTACTGTGGGTGGACTATTATGCTGACGATCTTGTCATCTGTTATAAGCAGTCCACCTGAAAACTGAAGAAGAACAAATTGATTATTTTGAAGTATATATTTTTTTGTTCTTAGAATATCTTAAGCCTCTCTCATCATGGACGGTTTACTCAATTGCTTTTCTTGGATTTTTCGACTTAACTTATGATTCAAGAAATCTTTGACTTAATAAAAAGTCTAATAAACCATATACAACATGGGGGGTAACGATGACATTCAAAGTAAGACTGTTTTAATCTTACTTCAGTGTGGGTAAGAGACAGAGTTAGACAACTTGTATAGCTCTTTCTCTCTCATTCTAGAAGTAAGATGAAAACAATCTTACTTTGAACGTAATGGTTAGCCCCCAGAAAGCTTAGCTATAAAAGTTTTATATGAATATTTGAATAATGAATCATAAAGATAAAAATCATCAATCAATAAAACGTACCGAGTTGATTATATTCTTGTCCCCTAGTCTTACAACTTTCGGCACAGGATCAGTAATGGTAGAGTCCCGATCGGAAGCTCTAGAGCAGTGGGCTGCAGTCAACACGAACCTGGAGCTGATGAGTGAGCTACCGCATTTGAATACGTAAGTAGTTGCAAACGCCAGCCATCCTATGGCGCCCTGGTATTGAAAGATCAACTTTATAATTTCGGATTAAAACATTTTAGCTTTATATAAAAAAGGAATAAATACAATGAGATGACATTTTAACTGTTTTGGACTTTTAAATATCTTTCTAGTTACTGTGTTAAAACAAATTAACTTTGTGGTTTAAAATCAAACCCTACTAAACGCAAGGGATCGCTTCGTGCGATAAGACCGCCCATTGTACACTCAATGTTTTGAAGTCATCCTTTGCAACTATGAGGTGTACAATAAAGTGTATTAACAATTAAAAGTATTTCAAGCAACTTTTAACCAGAATTTTGATGAATCCTTGACGAGGGTATAAGACATACTTAAATCGTAAAAGATCGCTGACGGTACTAGTGGTGCAATTTGATTTTTACCATATGTGGGAACTCGCCAAGTACTGTGTCTCTTCCTCCAATTGCACCAGCAGGTCTCAGCCTGTTCGGGTATAATCTGTCCAGTTCTTCTTGACCTGTTAATATATGTAAGTATTTGTTGAATACATAAATGGCTTTTTATGTTTATTTGGTTTAATGTGATAGACTGTATTAATGTTTAGGTACTTAAAAATATTGAATATACATTTTTTGCAATATTAAGTATTTTTTCATAAAAATATTTTTGTTAAGTACTTACATTCCTTAGATCTGTCACTATTTTTTTGTCTTATTTTAAGTTGCCAAACGTATTCATCGCATTCTGAAAAATAAAACTCAAGTTGATTTGAGTGAAATATACCTATATGTAATTTCTTCGTTGGTCTGTCTGTTGAAAATTTAAAACCATTACAGGCATTTGGTATTGAACTGCAAGTATATAGCGTTGTTATTATATTTTACGTAAATGATTTTATTATAAAAAATATGAATCAAACCAGAAAAATAGGGCTTAAATTTATATGATTTTAAATCGGGCTGCCAATTTGAGCATAAAACAATGTATTTTAGTTATAATTAATTTTCAATGTATGTCAATGGCAATTTTTTCTCATCACAAGATGGTTATTAACATAATTGCAGGATTGTAATATATTTTATCAGTTCCATTTTTAAGCGCAGAACATCCAATTTTTCGTACCAGGAACACATGAGTTATAGAAGATGGACAAGAAGTAGAAACATGAAATAGAAAATGGTCTTACTTGCTTCACTGATTCTTTTTCCAGGTGCACTAAAATCGGGCTTCGGGGGGTTGTATGGTAAACAGATCTCTGGACGATCTTCATCTTTTATTACAGGAGGAATAGTTGGAGCTTCTGTGTAATTGCTCTATAACAAATAAACAAGGAAAATTATTCTGAGGTTATCCACCATCAGAACCATATTAAGTATGTGGTTTTTTGATGAACGAACCTAGGCAAGTACCTATGTTAGAATAGTAAATCAAAAGTAGTTTTTTTATGTTATAGGACGGCAAACGAGCAGACGGATTGCCTGATGGTAAGCAATCGGCGCCGCCCATGGATACCCGCAACACCAAAGGAGTTACGAGTGCGTTGCCGGCCAGGGATAAGGGTTTCGGTTATTAAAGGATTGGGAATGGATGGGGAAAGTGGGAGGAATTGGGCCTCCGGTAACCTCAGTCACACGGAGAAGTCATTTGATGATTTTCCCCTCACAAAAAAAGAGGAGTCAAATTCAAGTCAAAATTAATTGCCAGCATTTTAAGAATTTGTACACTCTTTTCTTAAAGTAAATTTAAGTATAAGATGTACTTACATTTCTTGATGGAACGCTTACATCTGCGTATCCCCATACCCATCGATCGTCCTATTAAAAAAAAAAAAGAAAATTATTATGTTTTTGTTCACAGTTATGGATAAATTTTCGTGTTATATTTTGATATTTACACGAAGGTACAATTACTTAGAGCTTGTTTCAAAATGTATATTATATAAATTTAAAAATGGAACGTTATTTGTTGAAGATGGTGACAGGCAAATTTGACACAAAGGTAGTGTTAATTTTAAATAACAAAAAACATATTATTGGTTGAATTAACATCACAAAAGTGAAATTTGAATAGAAATTATACATTTCTAAGACAACTCATAGAGCATAAATCAGTAAGGAAAATCTTAGTCTAAAATGGCACGTGTTTGTGTATAAATAAATAAGACAATTGATCTGTGACGTCACAACTTAGCTCACGATCTGTAGGTTAAGGAAAAACAAACGAACTAAGGCCTCGTTTACGCACACGAGATTTTTAAGTGTGGGAGAGCCATGCTTCGGCACGAATGGTTCGATTCGATTGGAGTGATACCACGGCCTCACAGAAACCGGCGTGAAACAACCACAGCGTTGTGTTTCACCGTGTGAGTGAGGTTACCGGAGGCCCAACCCTTCCCCAATCCCTAAATCTCCAAATCATTAATCCCTTAAAGGTCGGCAACGCACACTTAACTCCTCCGTTGTCCATGGGCGGAGCTGATTGCTTACCATCAGGTAATCCGTCTGCTCGTTTGCCGACTTATCACACAACAAAGTACTATACTATTTTGTCTATATAAAAAAAACACCGGACGCGTTGTGCGTTCCTCGTAAATTACAGCTGTAGATCGCGTCATCACTCGCAAAACATAAACATATTGAGCAATGTACTAGAAACCACATCGCGCCGCGTCTCCGTAAACGGGGCCTTAATGTTAATGCCTATAAACAGTGAACGTCTGTGTTTATGTCATGGGAATGGTCTTGTCCCCTATTACGTGAGATTTGTACTATAATTGACGAATGGGGGCGTGTCTTTCACAGGGAAACTTCTTTATGGGAATAACATAATACGGTCATCGTCACGGCACACTATATTTTAATTTACATGGGTACTTTGTGGGAGAGCTATATTTCGGCTCGACCGGAGTAATACAACAGCCTCACAGAAAACCGGCTTGAAACAACCACAGTGTTACCGGAGGCCCAACTTTATCCAAAATGGTAGGCAACGCACTCGTTACTTCTGTCTCGGGTTCATGGGCGGCGCTGATTGCTTACCGTCAGGTAATCCGTCTGCTCGTTTGCCGACCTATCACACAACAAAGTACTATACTATTTTGTCTAGGGGTAATATCGTCATAATGGTTTTTTCTGGTGAGAGAGGAGTTGTGAGAGCCAACAGATTAACTCAAATGGGGCACAATTGGGCTAATGTTAGCCGGGGTTTCTGGACTGCTGGAATAATGGACCGCGGCCTCGGCCTAGAGCAGGATAAGGAGTGGAGTGGTTTTAGTCAGTCTGACATTCCGAATAATTTGGATAATATTTTCACACACGCACACTTTCTTCTATATTCACATTATGTTTCTTACTTCTTTTCTTTACCGAGTGGCGGTACCGCCGTCCGTGACGTGAGTCACTGCAGGGTGCCACCTGAAAATCAGCGTTGAGCATATTTGCTCAACTATATGCTGAGGTGGAGGCCTTTTTGGCCTGGGCACATGAATATTATTATTTTAACGTTTTATTTTCGTTTTTTTTTCTTTTTTAATACTTTATAAGTTATTCTTGTTTTGTTTATTATTTTATTATTGTATTTATAAATACTGTGTTCTTATTATGTATTTTTATATACTTGTATTTGTGTGCCTATTTGTCGAATAAATGTGTTTTCTTTCTTTCTTTCTTTCAATCCCTCTCGCCTCATCCGAGGTGAGAGAGAGAAGTCATTGGATGTTTTACCCCCTTAAAAAAGGGTAGGTATGTAACATTATGTTAGATAATTTAAATGCCTCATCAGGCGTAGTTTATTATACGGACCTTGGAGAATGTAGAACAAATTTCTGTGCGTTTAGGCGTTTTTGCCATACCTATTACTGGAAATACCTATAGCAGCTCACACATAGGTCCCATTACAATAACAATACAAAATTTTCTGTTTGGTGACTGGGTTTCTCCCAGTTGTTTTTTTTTTTTTTTTATGTAATAGCTCGGCAAACGAGCAGGCTGATTACCTGATGGTAAGCAATCAGCGCCGCCCATGGACACTCGCAACGGAGGAGTTACGAGTGCGTTGCCGACCTTTTAGGGTTTAGGGATTTGGAGATTTAGGGATTGAGGAGGGATTGGGGAAGGAGAAGGATTGGGCCTCCGGTAACCTCACTCACACGGCGAAACACAACGCAGTGGTTATTTCACGCCGGTTTTCTGTGAGGCCGTGGTATCACTCCGGTCGAGCCGACCCATTCGTGCCGAAGCATGGCTCTCCCACACTTCACGTAGAGTTGGTCACGTAGAGTTGGTGGATTTTATAATAATATTAATATTTTTTTGTATCTTGATTAGTTTTTATCAATCAAGTTTTTGGTTCGAAATCGTTTTGATTTTTTCATTGATCGAACGAGTGCTATATCCAACGGATGTAAGCATAAGATAATGTTGATGTTTATTATCTAGATGAAGCCGCAGACAGAATCCAATAGGTAGTTGCATATATTAAGGTCTTTAGGCAGAACAAAGTATAATATTACATTTATTAAGTCACTCATTATGTTGTGCTTAAGTATAACTATTTTTTGACTTTCACAAGTGCCATATATTGGTGTATTTAATCTATACTAATATTATAAAGATGTAAAATTTGTAAGTTTGTATGTAGGGGGTAATCTTTGGAACCACTGGTCGGATTGCCAAAATTCTTTCACTGATAGATAGCTACAATGTTCTTGAGTGCTATAGGCTATAAAACATCACGCAACGATCAAATGGAGCTGAGCAGTGGGTGAAACCGCGCGAGAGTAGTTAGTTTGACATAAATGTTTTGACTTTGACGAACGGATAACACGGACTTTACTGGTAAATGAGAAACAGTTCTATAACTATAAAAATGTTTAACCTTGATATTATTTAATATAATATGAACAGAAATACGTACAACACTTTATTTATAAATGATTATAAAGCGGAATTTCCGACGTATGTAGTACAAATATACAATTTTTTGCTGCTATTTCACAATTTGTAACTCTAACTACACGTTTCAAGGTTGTATTTACAATGATTTCATAGATAATTATTATATTTCTATTAATACCTTGGGGCCTAATTATAGGGCAACGTGATCTTCCGTCTGCTATTGGCAACATAATTATTGTTTACTGGATTCTTTAACATCTTGATATTATTATTTTTAAACAATATCAATATGGCAACTATATTGAATACTTATTTCAAATCGTCAAACACGATGATTTTTTATGTTTTTTTTTTCGTTTGTTATGTTTTTAGCAGACTTCCAGAAATGAGAAAGGTTCTCAATTCGACCGTAATACCGTATGTATGCTTTTTTATGTTTGTTTGCCGATATCTCTTTTGTTTTTTAACCGATTTTGATAATTCTTTTTTTTTGTTGGAATGAGGTCCCTTGATAAGAAATCACGATTTGATGATGGAAGACCAGATATATCGAGGGAAACTTTCAAAAATTATATGTTGTTTTAGTAGGCTTTTTACAACACAACAACTTGACGATGATCGACCTCGACCTGATGATGGAGCCGGAAGACATTCGAGGGATCTCCTTGACTATTTGGAGTAGTAGACTTGTTATAACAATTGTCATTATTATTTGAGAAAATTGTGTTTCGTATCTTTAGTACAATACGGTATTTGTAACATCGTAAATTCAATTCAAACGAAGGTGTGATTGTTTTGACATGATTATCAAATTGTAATGTAAAGTCGAAATAATATAGTTAGTACTGATCCAATTATTTATGTGAAACTTAAAGATATTAAGAGACTAGAATCGTTCAATTTTGTTGTTTTTTATTGTGTTCTGGGATTTATATATTGTGTCAGTTTTTCACATTATGTAATAGACAAATAAATAATAGTGGGCACGATTGTCGTAGTGATTGACCGGATATAGAGCATTACTGAGTAGGTTTGATTTGCTAATAGAATTTTCTCTGTATGATTCAGATTTAGGCTAAGAATGCTCGCTTCTCATCCACGAGGGTTAGAAGTCTGGCAAGTATTAATGAGGAAATTAATAAGTGGATGCTTTCCAAAATTCTTTAGACATTACTGACATGAATTATCTATAATTGTAAAAATTGTATATTTCCTTTTCAACATTCTATATAATGCAGTGATTGAGGGACGGTTCTAACAGTATACCTGTTAGCTATACGGGCAAACAAAATAGATGGCTGGTTTATTAGACACTGGGCAAGTAGACATATTGTCCATATGTCAATAATTGATAGGTAAGTATTAAAATATTAACCCGTTGAATGTCGGTTTATGAGACACAATAGAAAATACATTGTGTCTTGCGTGGATCCAAAAACATACGAAAGGTTTAATAATGTTTTCTACTCTATGGATCTCTCGTCTGAAATAAATAAATAAACAATTACTAATAATTTTAATTTAATGCCAATAAATTCTTATTTAATCTAGCTCATGTTATGGTTTTTATATTTTAATAAATTATTATTTTAATATTTAAGTTTTACTGTGTTCTAGTGTTCATAATTGTGTCCTATCTGTAAGCTAGTTTTGTAACACACAATACGCAAATAAATATATGAAGATGATAATGTAGTGTATGATGGTAAACTTCGCGATTGTGATGAAACCTGGACTTATAATTTTTAATTGACTTACCCAGGATCCAGTCCAGTTAACTAGTTTAACCTGTTCCAGTTCAGGTAATTCCTAATTGTAAGTCTAGACTCTGATTAGGTTATATAATAAAAAAATCAAATATGGTTTTTTAAACTTACATTTGTGTTAAGGTCATTTTGTCCCGTAAGTTGAGGTGAAGACACTGAAAATAAATGTATGTTTAAATGTAACCTGGTTTTGTCTTTGAATGGTATCTTTTTTCATGGATACTATCTGTGGTATTATGTTTTTATAATTATACATACGTATATATTTTTTAATACAGTTCATTATTATTACACTTTGGATAAAATAATGTTCTATCGATTTATCTTTACAATCTTTAAGTTTAAACAAAGTAATATATTTTCTATGTTTATTGAAAAAAATAAATTACCACAACAACTACGACATCTTTCTTTAAGAAATAAGTATAGTAACACTTAACAAAAAACAAAACAAAAACGAGTACCCACCTGTAATAAACAAACAGAAAATCACTAAACAACACTGTAACATCACAATTAGTTTTTCACACATATTACAAAATTCTTACAAAAAGCACATAATTTTACTTAAAATAACAAAATTGAAAATTGATAAAAACTTTCCATCTTTGTGCGAACATTAATAGACGCGGATACGTTGGTGTCCAACGAATAAACATTAAAGAATACACATATTACGTCATTAGCGAGAAACTTGACTGGCAATGACCGGTAGCGAGGTGGCCATCAAATATTTACAGGCACAGAAGGTCAATAACGAAATATTAGTATTTATATCGCAGCCAAATAGTTTATTTTTAGTTGCCCCACACTAGGATTTTCCCTTGTGTCGTGGGTGCGTTTACAAACATACAATTTCACTTACACATCACACACATTACACGGAACAACAGTTTGTGGATCACACAAAGAGTTGTTCAGTGCAGAAACCGAACCCGCGATACAACCACCGCGCCAACCGTGCAGTTAAATTAGACATCCTTCTAATGGCCTGGACGACTAGTCGTTTGATTTAATGGCGTCTCACTCAAGCTGTAGGATAAAGGGTGAAGGCATTGTCATGAATCGAGGAGTTGAGAATGGTAGATTAGTTTTAGGAAGGAATCAGGAATCAGGTCAGGTTAAGCGCAATAAGGTACCGTGGTCCCGACCTAGGCAGGAGAAGGAACGGTGAGGTTTTAAGTCACACACTTCCTCTCGCCATACCCTGCACGACAGAAGTGATTTAATGATTTTCTCTCTACAAAAAAAAGGTTAGGTTAGGTTCGAACTGTGAAGGGCATAGACGTTGAATCGCCGTCAGAATTTTATTACTTTGTTTATTCTTTAAAAAAGCCTAAAATGGTGGTGTAAAACTTACTAATAATATTAATGCAAAAGTTACGATGTTTGGATGTTTGTTACTCAATCACGCCAAAACGGCTGGACGGATCTGGATGAAATTTAGCACAGGCATAGGCTACATTCTGGAATAGAAAATAGGCTTTTTATCAACAAACCACGCGGGCATAGCCGCGTGTAGAAGCTAGTTAATAATAATAAATAATCTTATTGCAATATGGATGTGGGGATATGGGGCGGGGTAGAATAAAATTGGGCTTCTGGTTACTTATTTGTAATTTAATTTAAATGACATGTCATTCTTAGGGCCTATTTCTGTTTCTGAATAGCCACTATGTGTCAGTAAATATTATTATAAAATGTCAGTCATTTGAATTGTGTGCCACACAAGTTTATCGAGAACTTATGTTTATGTTAAAACTGGCGCTGAGTGTTTGCTGTTTGCTTTGCTTTATTGACATAGGGCTGATTTTTCAATAGTTATATAAATGTTATCTGAGATATAAAACTGTTGCTGTCACTGTCTTGTACAAACATTCTGTCGAGACAGCATTATAATTATTTCGAAGATAACTTTTATCTAACCATTGAAAAACCACTTATTTAAATTCCAAAAACAAAATCATAGACATTATTTTGTTTTTTCAAAACACACCATATTTTAATCAGCCCGCCAAGCACCTCAAGCAACTCAAGCATTAAAGCTACTCTGAAATCAACAAATAACCTAAAATATCCTTTTTGCTGGGGAAAATCATCAAATGTCTTCTCTTGCTGGACCTTGAACAGTCTTTACTGACTAAAAACCACATCGTTCCTACTCTTGCTAAAAGTTGAGGCCGCAGTATCTTACTGGACGCTAGCTTTTGCCCGCGACTTTATCCGCGTAGAATAGTATCTTCCTGCATAGCGTTTAAAAACTATCCTATGTCCTTTCACGAGTAACTATGTCTGTACCAAATTTCACACAAATAGGTTCAGTAGTTTAGGCGTGAAGACAGAGAAAAGACAGACAGACAGAGTTACTTTCGCATTTATAATGTTAGCTTGGATTAGACCTGACGGGCCCCATCTGTAGCATACAAGACCTAAATGTTGAACCTTCTGCATCTTGTTTACCGTACCAACAAGTCTCACGGGAATGAACCAGCCTTATTTGCGGTGTAGTTATCTAGCGATGTGTCTCATTTCACACCTTAATATCTGCCCTTGCTTTTTGTAAGTAATTTTTTATGGGATCATAAATTTCAGTCAGGGGCGACTTAGAGAACTTTTCCACGGAAAATACGTGTTTATTTGTGACCATAGATCACCGTTATTGTATTGTTTCAGGTTGTTGTTTTATAAAAAGTTTACATTGTTTAACTGTTATTGTTTGAGATTTTTTGTTTTCTTAATTCGTTATTTTGTTTTTGTTTAGGTTCTTATATGTGTGTGTGTGTGTGTTGTGTAGTATACTATTATGTTGTTTTGGCGTTAGCGTGGGAAGTATAAATATTTGTTTTATTTAGTGTTTTTTTAATAGTTTGTTTGTTAGGAGTCACTCACTGAAGATTTTTACCGAGATAGGTTAAACGACCCCTTTAATATGTATTTATGGCGGTTTGAATACAACCAATGACCAACTCTGTTGATGTTAGCCTTTACCTTTATATACCTACTAAACAAGGATACCGGCCAGGAATATTGTCCACGTGAACGCCGCCATTATTATTTTCTAAAAATATTTATTTTATGTATAATTCCTATAAGCTTACAGCACAACATTTTTATGTCATATAGAATAGGCTGCAGAGGAGATAACCTAAGCCTGGAACAATAATTTGTGGATTACATAGAGAGAGAGAGAGAGAGAGAGAGAGAGAGAGAGAGTATTCCGTGCGGGAATCACACCAACGACACGTTGCACAATAGCCAGTTGTAGCTACATGTATGTATACTTTGATTACACAATATATAAATGTAGTAGGGGAGACGACCTTATTAGTACCATACAACAGATAATTACCAAAGTTCCAAACTATTCCTTCATTCTCAGCAGTAAGTACCATTCCACATCAAACAAAAACAGTTTCAATGTATCAATAAATTAGATATTAAATCGAGTGTGTTACTTTATCTCCTTCCTTTTCGTACTAAAGATAAAGATCAGAGTCTGAATGCAAACCATTTGTTGAGTATTGCAATGGGAGATACAAATTGCTCTATCGAAGCCAGATTAGCACAAATCCTCTTCAGAGTAAAGGAATACCGAAGGTTGACGATGCATAACGAAGTGTACCGAAGTTTGCCAAAGTTTGCCGAAGCTTGCTATCCACTTTGCGAACGTTTTTAAATGTTTTTTTTTTTAATATTGGTTTTAAGCCTTTTCGTTATAAAATGAGGAGTTTCTTTCAGTATAACATTGAAGGGTTTTTAAACTGAACGTGGCAAGCCAAGTGGATATTTGTCTTGTAGTGCTTTTTCATTGGGAGAAATACAATAAATAAATCTTGATGTTCGATTTATTTCAATTTAAAAGATTTTCGAGACGATCAGTTTTAAAAGACATATTGACAATTTATTTATTGTGCACAATAATGTTATTCTTATATATATTGCTGGCATTTACACATCTGTGCGATGCTAATGTTAATAAAGTAAAACATAAGTTTCCATACGCAAATAAATTGCAAGATTTAGAAGGGATACTCTCACAAATTACCTGTCAAATAAAAAAAGAACCCTAATGAACAGAACTTAAGACCCTATTTATAAGCTTAGACTGATAGTCTCTTTATTTAACAAAATAATATCAGCGCCTGTGATAAACGTCACAGCAAAACATCACATAATAGATCCACTCCGGCCGGGTAAGCTGGGCAATTTGTCCGGGTAGCGAGTGAACATTTGTTCGATATCCTATCAAGTCCCCGGTTATATACGGATATAGCTGTAACAAAGAGAGATTACTTACAATTTCTAGTAAATGCTGGTAATGTAGCGTGATTAAATTGTTCCATTTTTGTTACTAGAAACGTCTCTTTGTGCGAACAAAACTTAGCAGTCTTATTTTAACTTGAGCTATAGAGAATTATATTATTCAAAAAGGCGAACTGAAAATAATAGTCATAGATGTACCTACACTTATTATTTTCTCACCAATCCTAATGCTACACCCAGTCTTAGAACCCACCCAACTTCATTGTCTAAATCTTCCAACATCAAATCAACGCCCTATAAGTAGTGTCCACTGCTGAACGAAGCCCTCTTCTAATATGGAGAAGGTTGAGCATTAATCACTACGCTTGCTCAAATCAGATTAGCGATCTCAAACTTATAATTAGAAGTTATAAGTCCAGGTTTTCTCACTGTGTTTTTCTTCACGTATGTCTGTGCTGTCAAAAATAGATTAGGAAGCGCATATGACTCGGAAAAGTCACATTGGTTCATGCCAGGTTTTGAACCACTCCTCATGCACGATAAGCGGGTGCTGGCTATAAATTATATAATTCTGCAAAGATACTAAAGAAATAATAAATACTACCTCTCAGAACAAAAATAGTCTATTGTCTTGTTAAATATTTCATGAAGCTGATTACCGACCTCGATCGAAAAAAGAAAATGTTAATTAATGATGACACAAAACTACTAATACATTAATAGAAAAAAAATCATCAGAACAATGTTCATATAAACACCAGGAGTACATAACAACAGCAGAGCAGGTGTGTTCAATTATGGAAAGCACTTGTTGCGCGCCCATGAAACTGAGTGGACCGAGTTAAGTGTGGAACTTGGCTTGTAAAGCCTTCATAATGCAGGCAATGTGCTGGAGTTAGTTCTTTGTGAACCTGGCGCCCTGGTACCTACGATTTAATCAATGCATTAGAAATCTAAACTTTCTTGCTTGATTCAGTAATCAATCGAATTTTAAACTTTTATAAAGACGTTACGTTTAAGTGTGGGAGAGCCATGCTTGCATGCACCATGTACAGAAAACCAGAGTGAAACAACCACAGGGTTGTGCCGTGTGAGTTGAAGAGGCTCAATCTTTGCCCCCCAAACCCTAAATTTCCCAAACTCTTAAGCCCAGAAGTTCGGTAACGCACTCGCAACTCCTCCATTGTTGCGGGTATCCATGGGCGACGATGATTGCTTACCATCAGGTAATAAGCTTGTCCATTAGCAGTACTATTTTTTTTTTAAATACAGTTACCTCCTTTCCTTTTTCATCATTGGGTAAAAATAACCATACCAGCAAAGCTGAGTAAAAAAGCACACAATCAACAAAGTACATAAAGGTGCGAATGAGCTGCAAAGTTATGAGCTCTCCAATTATGA